ACTCTCTTTTTTGGGTTGGCAAGGAAGTTGCAAGCACACTGAAAACAAGCACAATGCACACAGAGCGCCAGAAGAGGCGCCCCCTCCCCCCCCGGCGAGCGGGGGCTGGCAAGGGGCTGGTGTGGCTACACGAGGCTGCCGTCAGCGCTGTGTGAGTCCGGGCGTCCTCACATAGATATTAGGGGAGTACCCTATTTGGAGGCTCCTTGTGTTTGTGCCGAAAGTTTTGAAGCTCGACCTCATGGCCATAGGGCGGGCCTGAAGCGCTGCTTGCAAGAGGCCATATTCTTACAGCCCCGCGCAGCGGCCGATTTTTGAGACGGCACAAGAGCCCCAAAGGCTGCTAGCTGGCACTTGGCTCATGTGCTTCCCAGGTACCGGGAGCCTATCGGCTTGGCATGCTTAGCCTGGTGCAGTTTAAGACCCCCAAGGCTGCTTAACGGTCTGCAGCCAACCGCACGTCAAGTGTGAGAGTCAAGGGGCCTTAAAACTCGGAGCCCCGCGCAGCGGCCGATTTTTTGTGGAGAGCACTTCAAGCAGGTTTACCCCGTGACTACACCTGATGCGGGACCCACAGCAAAGTGCTAGGCCTAGTCACTTCTGGGCCTGCTGGAGAAGGTTGAAGCAGCAGTTCTTCACATCCCTTCTGGGCCTGCTGGCGAAGGCTCCGGCAGCCGTTTGCGGGGCCTAATCACTTCTGGGCCTTCTGGAGAAGTTTTAGGCAGCAGTTTGAGAGGTCTACTCACTGCTGGGCCTTCCGGAGAAATTTTTAGGCAGCCGTTTGAGAGGCCTAATCACTGCTGAGCCTTCCAGGGAAGGTTGAGGCAGCTGTTTGAAAAGCCTAATCACTTCTGGGCCTTCAGGCAACTGTTGGGACAGCAGTTTGAGAGGCCTAATCATTTCTGGGCCTTCAGAAGATGTTTGAGGCATCAGTTTGAGAGGTCTACCCACTGCTGGGCCTTCAGGAAAATTTTTAGGCAGCAGTTGGAGAGGCCGACCCACTGCTGGGCCTTCCGGAGAAGTTTCAGGCAGCAGTTTGAGAGGCCTAATCACTTCTGAGCCTTCCGGGAGGGTTTAGGCAACAGTTTGATAGGCCAAAGCACTTCTGGGCCTTCCGGAGGCGCCTAATCATTCTGGGCCTTCTGGAGAAGACCTAGGCATTAGTTTGAGAAGCTTACTCCCTTATCGCAGAAGCCGTAACGAGCAAGGTGTGTCCATCGTGCTGCAAGATAGACCAACAGATGTCCGTTGTATCCGGCACTCTAAGGGGGTGGCGCTGTCCATGAGCCATGGCGTTTGTTAACAGGGCCGCGCCGGATTACAGGCCGATTACAGCGATGACGCGCTTGTGGCAAGGAGTGCCCCCG